GAAATAAAGTATTTACATTTCTCTCTTTAATTTTTTTATTGGTTGCCTTTTAGTCACTAAGAAAATATTGAAATCTTGGCATTTTCAATTTGTAAACATATGCATTGAAAGGAAAAGTCAAACCAGAATTCTTTGTTGGTTTTGGCCCAAATAAGTTACCAAAATTAGTTAAGCTTGGCAAATAGCTTTGCCTTGAGCAAACTACATTTTTAGATAATAAAAGAAAAAAAAAACAAGAAAAAAAGAAAGGAAATAAACAAAAGAAAACAATTTGCTTTGCCCTCACTCCATCTCAGTTGGGCTGCTGTCTTTGGGATGCCTGCACTGACTCTGTCTGGATTCACACCCCTAACTTCATGTATAGAAGCTCTCAGTAAGATTGTGAGTGATCCCAACTGAATCTCAGACCTTAGTATGGGCTGTTTTGGCTTGTGCCCTCTGCACTGAACCCAGACCAAAGCAGATGGTTTGGTGTCATAGGCACCAAAAAGGAATACCCAGGCACCCGCTCAATTTTTCTCAATTTTTACAGGCTTCAATCTTGTTTGATGTCCTGGGCATGGGTACCTTAGAGTCTTCCTACTTGTGAGAGCCTTTGTAAATTTGTTAGTATTTCTGAAAAAGTACAAAGGAAGCTCAGTTCACCACAACAGTACTACTTTTAGTTTTTAGTACAGTACAACAGTAATACTTTAACAATTATTTTTTTTTCTTTTTTTTCTCCCATCTTTCTTCTCTCCATTCATCAGCTCATTGGCTTGTCTTCTGTTGCTCAAGTGATTTTAGGACGAGGAGAATTTGGGCAATATTTCAGCATCAATTTGGGATTTGGCATTGGTGTCACCTTGGGGATACATGCAGCTGGAGGAATCTCCGGTGAGTAGGATACCTGAGCATATGACATCTTTATCCTATGAAGTGCATGTGTCAGGGTCAGCAATGCTGGGCTGTGGAGCTGCAAGTGGCAGCATCCAAACAGAGGCAGTGGCCTTGCCAACAAGAAATACAGACTTCCATGCCCAAACAAGAAGAGCAGAGCAGGGCCAGGGTCAGCCTTGAGATCCAGTCATCACAGAAAAGTCCACAGAAATGGTGCAGGTTTGAGGTCAAGCAAAAGAGTCGAGATGGAAAGGCGAGATCAGGATCAACAAGGTACAAGGTAGACACAGCGCACCCACAGTATGTTTAGAGAATGATCTTAAGTGCATGTCCTGAGCCAAGACAGAGATTGTATGGGTAGATGCCTCATTTAAGGCTTTTCACAGTTCTTGCTCACAGTTCATTTGTATTTAGAGCTGTTAGAGCTGCACCGTATCAGGGCAGACCTTGAACACAATATCCAAACACATGTGGTAGTGGCAGGAAAAGAGGTTCCGTAGGAGGATAACAGAGAAAGGTGGTTCCGGGTTGATCATTAGAGGTAATGAGAGCCTGTCAGCGCCCTCAGGGTCCTCACAAAGTGGAGCAGAAGATACAGTGGGTAGTCTGGGCAGTTCCTTGCTCACGTGTAAAGACTGGCCAGAGGCAAGTGGGAGAGAAACAACAGCAGAGATTTAGCCATCTCATGCTCACAAAGTCAACAGAGAAAGATTTCAGCGAAGCACACATTAGACACCAGAAATATGCTATCAGAGCATGGCCCAAGGAGATATGAAGTTAGGAAAACATGCTGCCAATATAACCTATGGGGAAGCAGATCACTTATTCTGTGAACTTACTGCTGATGTAGCAACAAGGAATGGTATGCAAATTTTGTCCTTATCATCCACACCCCTGCAAGCATATCCATGTATAAGCACACCCTGCACTCACACAAGGTGGTGTTCCAGTTGGTATCGCTCACATGATGGAGCACTACCTCCGTCTTGGGCAATTTCTACATTCACCTTCTCCAAGTGAGAAGATAAGGGCTCTAGTACGAAGCAAATCAAAGCAAGTCCTTGCTCCTGACCTGTGGAATAAGATTCCCAAAACTGGGCACAGCTTTTAAAAGAAAGTTGTTCCACACGAGCAGTCAGCTCTTAGCTTCCCAATCTATTTACAACTGGTATATTCACCCTGGGATTCACCTTACTTTTGTCATGATTTTGCGGGAACTCACCTGAATGCTGCCATTACCCTCACACATTGCCTTTTAGGAAGCCTCTCCTGGAAAAAGCTCCAATTTTATGTGCTTAGCCAGTTCCTGGGCTCCTTTCTGGCAGCAGCTACTGTTTTTTGCATCTAGTATGGTATGGTTGCTTCTTTATTCTGGTGGTGGGGACAGTGCTGTGGACACTACATCAGTCTTTGCTCACAGTCCATCAAAATGTTTCCCTTTGCTATATGGAGCATGATGTCTGGGTGAGAAGGGTGAGCTCTTGCTAGCAAGACAGATCATTATAGCTCAAGGCCAACACAAGCCCCGGGGAGTTCCCACATCCCAAAAGCTGCCTCAAGGCTGGTAACTGCATTTTTGGCAGTGTTTTCTAAGGGCTGGCAAGTCCTCCAGTGCTCAGTCACTGTGGCTGAGATTGTCTTGGAATAACCACGCCAGAAAGGCTTGAGATTAGACAAGCTACCAAGCATCTAGCACAGCTGGAGCCAAGTTGGGGACTTGGATTGTGGAAAACAGCAGTTATTCTTGTCTGTGAAGCAGGTCTAAATCTCTGCTGCTGGTTCCCGGAGAAGGGACAGGGAGCTGTCAAGTTAAGGAAGCAACCGCAGACAAAACTCTACTGGTGACCGATCAGAGAGACTGTGCTCTGGATAAGATGTCTTGCTCTAAACACATCTCTCTTTGCCTCTTTTCCAATCGTGTCTATACTGGCTGCCGTGAGTAGACATCAGTCCATGCCACATGTGATGAACTCTGTGCTGGCAGCTGTGCTAACTCCTATCTCCCTTTCTCCTAGAGGCGTTGTATGACTACACCAAGGGCAACTTTACAGTGACTGGTCCAAATGCCACGGCGGGGATCTTCTCCACTTACCCTGCTCCCTATATGTCCTTGATGAGAGGCTTCTTTGTGGAGGTCAGTGGGGATAGCTGTGGCGTGCTAGAAGGTGGACAGCAATAGGTGCCAGCGCGGCCCTGGTACAGAGGACTCGGGGCTATGTGTGCTGACCTAAGCACAAGCCTTGCTTCAAGGAATCCCTTGTCCTGGCAATTGCCTGGCTGCAGGCAGGGTTCAAGGCACCTTGGTGACTAAGCTGGGGAGCAGGACACAGATATCGTGCTCTGGCTGGTGGGGAGCTTGGGTCGGGGAGGACTGTTGGCACAACAGCCTAAAGTGTGGCCAACACAGGTCCCTGTGCTGGTATGCGCTGTGCTCAAGACAGCATTACCATGAGGAAAGTTCCAGGCACGAGACCTCATTTTCATGGTCCCTTGATATGATGTGAGAAACTAAGGGACTCTGTTCTTGCAGCCACCTCCATGGGGTCTGCTGCTGTGGTGCCAAATCTGCCCCCTTCTCCGCATGTGGTAGGTTAAGTCACTGCAAATGATATTTCAAGCCAAGGGCTGCCTGTTCCTTCCAGCCCTGTGTTGTCTCAGGAGAATCACCAAGCCTAAAGGATAACACTTCCAGGCTGCTTCTCAGCTCAGTTCAAGTGCCCTACAAGCACCTCCCCTTGCACACAGCCCAGACAAGGGGATATCTGAAGCTGAGCTACAGCAGGAAAAACTCCTGGGCAATAACCTGAGCTGATCTTCCTGGATCTTATATTTGCTCTGCACTCCAGGCACCTCTTCTGGATGCCTCTAACCAATACAGGTGTCCTGGGACTGACTTTCCAGGAATACAGCCTGTCTGGTTTGAACCTCTGGAGGTTTTACCAGGCCATTTGGCAATGAATACAGTTTATTCCCAGCACTTAACACAATATCAAGATGCCCAGAAATAAGAGAGGAATAAAAGCTTGCCTCAGACATTGAAAACACTCTCAGTTTTGTTTTTTTGCCATTAGTTTTTTTTTATCAGAAAGCTTGACAGTGAGTGCAAACCACCTGCGCAGAATACCAGTGAGATAGTTATATAACTATTCTTTGTAATCTCCAATATTGCTCTGCTGAATCCCAGTCATGGAGTAAAACTTCCATCCTGACATTATTTCTACCTGGTTTGAGTATTTACTTCTTTGGGGATGCCTCAGGGGACTTAGGATTATTCTGCAGCATGACCCATACTTGGCATTGCTACAGGGGAAGGCACGTACACATTTAACTCAAGTCTGAGCAAACCCATGCTTTTGTTTCTGAGCTGATGAAGCTCTGCCTGGCTGTGATGGCGAGCATGGTGAGAGCTGAAGAACCTCCAGATGGTCCCCTGATTGCTCAGCCTCCTATGCAACATGCTCTATAGAGCTGCATAAGAAAGTAAATGACAAAATGTTGTCAGGAGATAAGAGTTTGTGCTCTTTCTGTTATCTTTCCAAGCAGTCCAATAATGTTACAGTCCTCCTTGATTCAACCTTGAATCCCACCTGCTATTCTAGTCTGGGAAGCTCTGTTGAGCACGATCCTTCTGCCTTTGCCATTCTCTCTACTGACTTGCTTTCCCTTTCCTGCTCCTGCAGTTTATAGCAACAACAACGCTGTTCTTGGGCATTCTAGTCATCCACGATGAGAAAAATAATGCAGCCCTGAAGGGGACACAGGCCCTGCTGACAGGTATCCTGGTCCTAGGAATTGGCCTGTCGATGGGGATGAACACGGGCTACTCCATGAACCCTTCCAGGGACTTGCCCCCCAGGGTCTTCACTGCCATTGCTGGCTGGGGAATGGACGTCTTCACGTGAGTCACCTGTTTGGATTTTATACTGCCTGGCTCACAGAAGAGCAGATAAGCCCAAGCAATTAACCTTCTTTTTTTTTTTTTTTTTTCCCTGACCAAATAATGGTACACCTGCAGTGTGGCCTCTCACTTTTCAGTAAGTGAGGGTGTCATGCACAGGGGAGCCCTGAGTGTCACATACATCTAATTTGGAGTACACCAAATCTCTGGTATGGCATTTAGCTCCACATTCAGATACCTAAATTGAGAGACCTATACCACAGGAGTCTACCTATGAGTACAGATCTAGCTGGTTACTGCAGTGAATAGAGAGCCAGAGAGTTATTCAGACGATCTGAAAGGGGTAGTTACAGCTGGATTGCTTAATGGCTCTCATAAATTTACATGTATGAATTTGGAGATGAAACCCTATTTCCTAATATCTAATAAGCCTGGGTCTCATGCCACAGCTGTTCCCATGGTGATGGCCTTAGTGGAGTTTCCCTGCTCTGCTGCCCATTTTCATGAAGCTTGAAGAAAATATTACTGAGAGTTTGATCTCCCTATAAAGTTTGGTAATGGGAATGCAAATGTTACTGAAAATGGGGAAGGGGTGTCTCTGGCAGCCACATTCACTAGGATTGCACAGAGTATTTTTTAAGGAGAACAGGACACCCGCAGAGAGTGCAAAGCAGGTTGCTAGAACAGGAAACCCTCTAGCAGTGCAGACCAGGAGGGAGAACAACTGTCCCACATGCAATTAGTCTGATGGATGCAGAATATATTTAAGATAAATGTGCCAGGTTATGCACCTGGCTTTCTCTAAACCAGCAGATGAAGATGAAATATTTGAAAACCAAACTGTGTTTTCCTAGTGCTTCGACAACTAGGTGCTTGTATGGCTATGGTGTAAGTGGTGAAAGTGAGTCAAGGGTGAATATTAATCTATGCCTTACAAAGGTGGAAAGTGTAATTCCTGGTGTCTTGCAAAGGAATTTCCTACCAGGAAATACACTTTGCAGGAACTACCTAATTACTGATAGGTTAAACGTGGTAGGAGGTTTAACTGTGGTTAAACCACAGTTCTGTGAAGGAGTTCTGGGTTAATTTTCCTACTGTCCATGATACTTTGCACACATTGCTTATGCTTTCTGCGTCTGTCAGTAGTGAAGGGTTTCTACCTCCTGCACACAAAGATGCAGAGAGCCCATGGAAACCATAAACTTTCTTTGACTGACAGATTTTGCATGAAGCCCTTAGAATTCCTGACTTAATGTAGCCAGCTTTTTGACAGTGAAAAACATTGCCCTCATAAAACGTTCTTCAGAAGAGTTAGTTCCCACAAGGAAAAATAACCTGGTTTGCAGCAGCACGACTGGTTTGGCTCACCAGAAGGCTATTCTGTGTTTCTTTTTAGGGCTGGACAGGGCTGGTGGTGGATCCCACTCGTAGCCTCACCACTGGGATGCCTTTTTGGTGCTTTAATCCACAAACTCTTTATCGATCTTCACAATCAGCCTGTCCTGGAGAGTGAAAATGAGAAAAAACAGCCAGGCATGGAGGTTTCTAGGATGTGACAGTCACGTGCCCTGAGGAAATGACCTGGAAGGAAAGTCTTGTCAAACCATGTGCACTGGCAGTCAAAAGGTAACTGAATGGACACCAGCACATGAAATGACACTATCAGCGCATGCCTGCATTGGTTCCAGTACATGAAGAAATGGGATTCATTTTTAATAAAGCAATTCTGCTCAACCAGACAAACTGGGTCTCTGATACACTGGAAAGCCTGGATAAGGCTAGTCTATGACCCAAAAAAGTATTTCAAATTTGCTGTGTAAAGACATTAAAAAGGGTAGGGGGAAGAAAAAGAAGAAAAAGAAAAATCACACTCCAGAGAAAAACAAAGCAGAGCTGCAAGACTGCAGACTACAGCAACCAAATACAAGATCCACAGTTAGACATGAAATAAGTATTAGTCAGGGGATCATGCTACTGAAAACACAGGAAATACCTTCACAGTGGCAGGAACAAATTAAAAAAAAATGTTGATCAGAATATTCTTTGGTAAGATATAGATACTGTACTAATGAACCACACATTAGGATTTGCTTCCATTTGCTAATTTGACACACTAACATCTACTCTGTCAGGACACAAGAAAAGAAAGGGAACTGACGGCCTGAAATAAAACTTTTTTTTTCTGAACATTCACAAGCACTGAAAAAGTCGGTAAACAACAGGGTCTTGCACTTCCTTGTAAAATTGTCTGGGAACAGACTGTTTTGTGCTATGTGGGCACAGTGAAACTATGCTTGTTAGTGAGGGGTTAGACTTTAACTTTCAGCACATGAAAGGATTAAGACAACTCCCCTGACAGCAAGTCCAAACGATGAAACAAAGGAAGAAACTTTCTCCACTGTGACTGTACCAGAAACATGAGAAGAGACTGTTGGACTTCAGTAAGAATTCTGCCACTTCCATGTGAACCCCAGAAAGGGCCTGCAACAGCCTTAGACGTTTGACAAAGCATTGGATTAAAGTAAACCATACAAAACCTTCAAAAACAAAGGAAGTTCACAGGCCAGGTGATACATGTGGTACCTGTACCAAGCAAATGACTAGGGCTCCAGGTACAGCAAATGCACACAATGCAGGGCTCTCCAAGGGTAGGGTATGATAGAGCATCCCTATGCACAGAATCCCGGGAAGTGGTGTTTAATGGCTTTGACAACTGATTATTCGCACTGAACTATTAAAGGGACTAACCCTGCACCACTGTGGCGTGAGGTGGGGTGGTAGATATTAACAGCCCTGCTTCCTCATTAGATCTTCTGTTATTATAGCAGTTACAGCAGGACCTTCACCTGGTGAAAGATGCATGTTGGCTTAAGAGGGCTAAAGAGCATTAGAAGATTTTCTTTAGCACAGGGGATGTGAGAGGGCAGCTGCCAAGCCATCCCTTGAGGGCTCTTTGTGCAGTCACATTTAAAGGAGGGTTGTGGAGAGTGCCAGAAACCAGCAAAGTCTCACAAAGTTGGGGTTGATGGTTGCACAGGTTTTGAAAGGTGAATGTTGGACAGAAGTGGAGGTGCTGTCATGCAGATGAGACTTGTGCCCGTGTGAAACTGGGCACAAGTTTCACACAGCTCCTGGGTTCCTGGGTAAACTGGGAACTTTGGAGTAGCTCAAGGTGGGATCAAATTAAAGACACTGTAACCCATCCCTTTTGTTCAGAGATCCTCTACTGCAATAAAAAAACAGTTTGGTCTCTATCCTGTTGTTGCCATGTGTTCTTGTGCATGTGCTCCCAAAGGCATCTTCAAATATCCAGTCACTCTGGAGGAAAATACTCATATTTTTATTATTAAAATACTATTAAGCACTTACAGGGCGGCTTTGTCTTTCCAAAAGCCATAAATGTTTGTGAAAGCCTCACAACATCCCTGCGAGGTAGGTTGGTCTGATGCAATTCTGCAACTGCTTCATAAATAAAACATGCTGCTGTTTAAATAATCAGTGCTTACTTGGAGATGGTGACTTTGCATTCCCTACATAGGCACAGAACAGGCTGGCTCTATGATGTGTTTCCAGCATACCTAAGAAGACTGAATGGCACAGAAAATTAATGGAAACAGACAGATGTTAATGAAAACCAGAAATGAATGTGTTAAAGTGCAGTTTTACCTGAAAACTTACAGTATAGAAAATCGCATCACGGCTTTCTAGGGCTGTAGGATCTCAATGGTCCCTGGTCAGATCCTGCCCAGTGAATAAGTGACAAAGGCTTTTTGAAAGCTCAGCTCAGCTTTGTAAATGGGTATGTGACAAATCGAGGTGTCCTCCTGGTTTACAACATTCTAACAACACATTGATGCTCCTGGAGCTGCTCTGGCTTAGCTGTCCTCGGCCAGGTCCCACGAGAGGAGAAAGCAGAGGCAATCTTGCATCTTCTTGTTGCCTCCAGGCTCATTATTGAGGACATCACACATAGCTCATTGTCCCAACGGATATGGCATGAAGGCCAAGGAGTGATCTTGGCTGTAGAGCAAGTGGCTAGGCCAATGCAGGGACATGGAAACTCCAGGTCTCTCTATACCATGAATCTCAGAGCTGGAAGATTGGAAGAAACATGGGGAAATGCAGAGTTTGATTCTGTCTGAAGTGGAAGATATTTCTTTGTGTTGTTGGTTCCAGCCTGCCCCCATAACATGCAAGGTCAGGGCAGGTTTGTTTCAAAGGGGACAGCAGAAATATCCTCATGTTCTGTATTTCAATAAGGGTCTATTAAAGTAATAGTGACTCACATTTACTTTCATTTCACTGCTCTAGTTGCACAGTACTAAAAACCTCCCTACAGAGCAATGACATCAAGGACTTCTTCATGCCTCTCAAAAAGTACATTCTGCAGGTAGCAGAAGCGAATTAAATCAATGTCTCAAAGTCACCAGAATCTACCTCCCATGTCAAAGTACATTGTGGTTATATTTCATGCAAATGCTGCCGTGTAGTTTCCATGGGAAGATCTATTCATGCACAACAAGGGGCTTGATCTGAAATTCTCAGACTCTGCACCACAGAACATCAAAGCTTATCGCAAATGACATCCAGGGTCAGATCTAGGGAGTCTCACTTCCTTGAAAGATTCCCAGGTTGTGAGGAAGTCTTGGAGGATGTCATGCCAGGATGGCTCTTTTGGGAGCCTGTCGGCTGGGAGGATGGTTTCTTTTTCATCACTGGAGTTTTGTTCTTGCTTTTAAACACTTTGTTGGGGTCCAGCTTGTTCACAAAGGCGTCAGCTTCTTCAGAAAGGAGAGCTGTGTTGACGGTTATGGGTTTATACATGTTAAACCATTGCTGAAAAGCAGGAATATTGGGGGAGGAAGATGTTAAAAACAAAACTGTCATTAGACATTCCCTCCTTGCTCTCCCCTCATCCCCAAGACATGGTTTTAAATATACATGAGCAGGAACATATATTAGTTTGCACAATCCAGTCAACTACTGAAAAGTATTCTGTGATAAGGATGGTCCCACCTGTAGCTAGAGTCCCACATTCCAGAGAGGGAAGTGGAGACCCAAATACAAACCTAAAACCACCCTTCTCACAGTCTCCTATCAGGCGACAGCTCCTGACTTGAACCAACAGGAGAAAAAGCAAGAGAAGGGAATGAAATTACATCACATTTATTTAGATTCAGAGAAGCAGAAAGGATTAAAAAAATCTAGAATTTAAGACTGCTTATGAAACAGAACCAAACTAGCTGTACCATTTAAAATACAGCCTCCCTCTTTTCACATATATGGTACAGATTTTTTTTAATTCTTTACAAAAAGGGTATATTTTGTTTCACTTCTGCCTTTTTTTAATATCTAGAAGTGATCGCAATACTTTTTTTTTTTTTGGTTCACAGATGCCCCCATAATGCTATGCCCTGCATTTTCCATCTCTTAGCACTCTTCCTATCAGCTGTCCATTGCATGACGTCAGGAAACGGAACTACAGGGGATAAGATATTACAAACCTCACCGAAATTCACCATCAGTTAAATGTTGAACAAGATAAACAGAAGATCAATACAAAATTGTACAGGGCAATCACTTAATGTACTACATAATGGAAAAGAGCTTTAATATATCATCCTTAAAGACCTTTAAAAATGATAATGGTTAACATATTAGGAGGATATAATTTAACAGAGGCTGTGAAATGGCTAGGAAATATATGAGTGATTTCACTAAGGTCTGTGAATATACTGAACACACCAAAATGCTCTAGCAGAAAAGCTACAGAAAGGCAGAGCACAGGGATAAGCTAGAGTACCATACACACAGCCTTGACTGATAAGGTAGACCACAGCACATCAGGGAAGAACCCAGAAATAAAGAGCCAAATTCTGCAGGCACTGGTAGATAGGAAGCAGGCAGTGATTTTAGTGAGTAATTTTGATGCATGCACAGGGTTGAGGCAGGGACCAAGGAGTATAATGCTGACAATACAGCTCTTCTACCTGCCGTAAGGGCAGGGCACTCCCTGACCAAGACCCACCAGCATGTGCAGACATTGCACGTGTGCTGTGTTGAGCTGTATGAACAGCCCACACTCTGCCAGTCGACAAGCTGGAAGCTGGGTTGGGGCTGAAAGGCCAGGCAAGCACAGAGGAATGGCAGGAGTCTCTAATAGCAGGGTTCAGACTGAGTAGAATAAATAGCAATTTTAATAATAATAAGGTCTGCAGGCTGTACGTGGAGCAGGGCATAGTGTGGAAGTTGTGCTCTCCCAAAAATGCTTCTGGAACTGCTGGGATTTAAACTGCTCTTTTGGACACTATATCCTCAGGGTGCCTCTCTGTGACTGAGAGACAGAAAGGGACTAATACCCCCTATAAGGCTGAAGCTCAGTCCTCCTCTGGGCTTCTGTCCTGTGTGAGCTTGGACCTCCCTCCCTCCCTTGGACCTCCTAGAGAGCTCTTGTTCTGTGCAATGCCCAGAGAGCTGACCTAGGCTAATTTTACAAAGCTGTGGGAATGAATGTCCTTATAACTCTTCACTTGATTGCAGTTATGCAAGCAGAAGTTGGCTTCAGAGCCAAGAAATACAGAAATAGTTGAGGATCTACCATCTGCTGTCAGAGGTCAAAGGCAGAGTCCTACTCAGGTGAGAAAAGCAGAGTGACAACAGTAGTGACTTGGCTCATGTAAACAAATGACTGCAACATGCTAGAGTGGAAAGGCTCATGGGCTCACTAGAAGAACATACCTGAGCCCTGCAGATTGCTTGTCAAAAGGTAGAAAGGTGTTTTCTGGCCCAGATTTACTTGAAATACAGACTGTATCCTGCTGTCTTACCTTGGCCTGGGGGCTGACCCCATAGCTGGTGAAGGCATATTGCCACTGTGGAAGACCCAGGTGGGTGATGAGCAGGCGGTAGTAGGCCGTGAAGGTTTTGGTGAGGAAATGCCAATACAGAGCTCGGTCCAAGAACCATATCTCTGTGTCTGGGGACACAACTACAAAGAGGAAACAAAAATTATGTTGCTGCTTTGCAGTGATAGATATCAACTCCTGGGCAGTGCGTCGTGGAGTACAACTGCCCCGCCACAGATCTCAGGCCCCAGCTGATCATGCACAACTGGCAGCGCCCAGTCCTGACCACGAAGAAAGAGGTGATACTGCTTGCAACTGGTGAGATGAGAAACGGGCATGAGATCAGCAAAAAGGGGGTATTTTTTTCCCCAACATGGCATCAGACCAGCAAACAAAGGTACATCTCCATTCCAAATATTGTATCACCATCAAACTCAGTGCTCATAAACAGCGTTACAGCCCAGAGCACCCTGAGCTCTCCTGCACACCAGCTGCCTGCAAGGTGGTGAATATCTTTGGGACGCCTCTCAGGGCCATTCTCTGGGAGTTAAGAGAATATCTGACAAGAAACCATTGAAGCAGCAGGGAACTGAGGCTCAGGCAATAAGAAATGTGCAGTAAGATTCACTCACTATGGCTACACTGTACAGCCATCTTCAATAAATCTGTTTGCAATAAACCTCACGTTAATAATACCTAAAAACTCCCTCCCTTGCCTGTGACACAGTGTCAGCTGGAGATAAAACATTCTTACCTGAAAGGCTGGGCCTTCTAAAAGGCAGCATCCCTGACTAACAAATACAACTATCCAGAGGCAGCCTGGTTGGAGCTTTAATATCCCTCTAATGGCAGTAGCCATTATACTCAGTTCCCCCACTGTAAAATGGATGTGATTCCTTCCTAACCCGGGGCTGACACTCCAGGTGCAGCATCTTTGGACAACAGTAGTTTTGTAACCTAAGTTCAATATATAATTATTGCAAACATTTATCTGTCCAACAAAACAAAAACAGTAACTAACTCAGTAGTCAGTCATCTGGAGTAGAGTCCAGAGTCTGGAAGCCATGGGAGTGTGTGATGCCAAAAAAAACACATTTTGGAGAGACTTTCCACAGTGATTAAATATTTCTCTGGGGGGTAACTTCCTTAAAAAAAATCACCGACAGATTAGCAGGGATAAAAATAAGTGACTTTACTTGATAAACTGGGACTCTGAACACTGCCAGTTAAGCACAATGCCTCCTATGCTAACATCAACACCCATAAACAAGCAAGGAAAGGTTCTCTTTCCTTGCTCAGGTCATCCACTGAATGGGCAGAAATCCTTATCACTGAAAGGCAAGACAAGTCAGAAGTTTCTGACCTGGGAATTCTAGACACACCCAATCACAGCACAAGATAACAACGGAAGGGTTTTACTAAGAGCTGGTTGCATGGGCACACCCACACACAGGGTATGTAAACGTATACACATGTACAGAGTGACCTGTGCACTTTGAATGTCAGGTGTAACTGGGGTGTTTTGCTAGTCCTTGATTGAAAACAACTTTCTGTGTAGTTATCAGAAGAAAGTTTGGCTTGCCTCTCCCACTTGACCCTCCCTGCCAAATGCTGACCTATTTGGCACCCAGAGGTATGGCACTATGTGCGAAGTGGCAGAACCAGTCTAAGACTGTCACAGTGGACTGAGGACTTTTTCTGGCATGCACCCTTTACTTCTATGCAAAATACACCCTTCCTTATCAAAATATGAAGTTAGTATTCTGAGACATGCAAGTAACCAGAAATAGGAGAGTGGCTGAACTCTGCATTATTTCAACATGATTGTCTGTAGGTCATACGTATTTTCCTGTTTTGATGTGTAAATAGACTATGCATGCAGAAATTAAAGGGAATGAAAGGTTAGCTCCAGCTAAGTCAGTGTAAGGTCTGGCCACTGCGTTTGATGCAGCCATGACTTCCAAGTAAATGTTCATATACAAATATAAAGATCAAAAATGTAAGATGATACTAAGTACCTATCCCTCAGATATACCTGAAGCAACAGATGGCTAACTTCACTCTCTTCAGTCTTACCTGGTTTAGTGTGCTTATAAACAAGACAAACTTTCCCATTCCCATTGCATGGGTCCAATTCAAAGATGAGACTGCGAGAATCAAAGTGTGGCTTCTCTGGTTTGTCTTCATTACCTTAAAAAACAGAAAAAAAAAGACCTATAAGAAATATGTTTGGAAAGCTGACGGCGCTTCAGCTGCAAAGAGTCAATCTATTCGGTACCTATTGATTAATCAATTGTTAAGACTGAAGGAGCGCTGAGGGAAGGAGTATTTTGATTATTGTTTTTGCTTTTTAATCTGTAGGATGCCTGCATTTCTAGGCAGTCTGGAAATACATAACATTTTCCAATGTTATATCACATTTAAATACATATACCAAGGTTGTTTTTTGCAGTTCTGAAAAGCATCCAGCAGTACAGCTGCTTTTTTACTACCAAGACAAAGATTGTTACCTTCTGTTTATATAACACCAGAAGCACACAAACAGTTTATAAATTGAGTCACTTGAGGAAGCCTTAGTTAAAAATTTAAAAAGGCAAAAGACAGCACAGGAGGGCAAACTGTCGCTCTAAGAATAGAGATATAATGCTAATGACTGGCAGACTTAACAATCACCATGAAATCCACAGTACACAGCTCTACATATCTCAAGGCTCTAGAGCACTAATGGGATATATGGTAGATATGGCCCAGGAGACAAAAAAAAAATCATCTCTATTTGGAACGACCTTTTCTCTTGTTATGTCCATGTACTATAGCCTAATATTATCTTAACAAAGCAAAGGGGATGAGGCAAAGCCTGTGCTCTAGTCTCCTAATACAACATTACCTTCCTCATCCGTGTCGTCTTCCAGATCAGCAAGAGTTGGAGCATTAGGCAGAGTGTACAATGAGGAGCCCCCAAGTCGGCATAGCTTCGAGATGCTATTGATCACCATGGAACCCAGGGGCATTGGGGTATCTGCAATAAGACTGATCATTAATTACATTCTAGCATCAGGAATGCAGAAGAGGTATTTTTGTTTCACAAAACAGAGAGATGCAGAGATGAGATGGGTATGTCCATTAAGGCTGGATGCTTAACCAATCCAGCCTTCACAGGAGCAAAAATTAGTCTTTTCCTGCCCCCACCACCACACACACACTATCTCATCTGATGTCAGCTCACTATAAAACCAAAGACATTCTAACTCAGAGGCCATTACGCTATCTGCTCCAATCTGGACTAGGAAATGGGAATAGTTATTTGTGTATCCTCTCAGATATGTGCAAGTAAAAGAACTAAAGAACTGTGCTGCTGACTAGGGTTGTGATACAGCCATGTCAGGCCAATCTCATGAAACGGGCTATTAAAAATCTTAGGTAGCTGCAGCCACCCTCACAAAAAACTCTTCCATGTTTCTGTCCTTTATGCCAAGAATAATGCCTTCCATTTGCAACTTACTGGGCAGCTTATCCTCTTTCACACCACACACCTGCTCAGGGTGCATGCTCTTGGGTCCTTCTCCATGTGGATGCTCCTGAATGAATGCTTGGACTTGTCATCTGGCTCTCCTTCTGATGAATCTGTGCTTACATTAGTCACCAAGTCACAAATACCCAGTTAAACTGCATGCCAGCATGAAGGGCCTCAGAAGGCACAGCTGGGTGTTTGCTCAAACAAGACATTTACGTGATCTGCCTCAGGCTCTGTGCACTTGTGTGGCCTGAAAACAAGATCCATCAGAGACATCATAACACACTGCATCTCACCTGGAACACAATGGGTGTCAATGCAGGTATTAGGTTAGGTTTCCAATGTCTCTGGAAAAAAACTCTGCTTCCTGAGGAGAACCATGTATTTGATGTCTGAAATGAACAGTATCTATCGCCTCATCTGACAATCTAATTGTAAGTACACAAGCATGTGGTGGGGCATAAGCAGAGTGAAAGAACTGCCTGATTTTTGCCATACACCAATGGACAATACAGCTTGATCCTACTCTCATTTCCACCAATATCTCCAAAAATAATTCCAGTTAATGGACTTAAGCTGTTGGGAGAGCAGAATTAGGCTAGGGCTAGAAATTTTGGCTGTTGGAAGTTAAACTTTGACAGTAAAACGTGAGATCACGCACTTCTCTTGTACATTGTTTCAGGTTATTGAGCAAAGTCTTGTCCTCATGCCTGATTAACATAACCTGTGCAACCTCTGCCCAGATGCTTGATGGACTTTGGCTTCAACCCAGTTGTGAGACCTGTGTGAAAAGCAGGAAACCAACTGAAAAAAAAGAGAAAAAAAACCCCACATGTTTCATCTCAGCTGAGTAGGGTAAGAATGTAAGCAGCTAAGAAGACAGACTGGACCTTAACATTGTCATGATCTCCGTTGTCTCTCTCTGGCTTGAAGATGTCAGCAATCAGATAGCTCCACAGATTCATTTTTCCTCAGATTAAAGCTATCGCTTGGAGTGGCGAGTACAGCATTTATCATACACCAAATACCATGAAGGTATTAACTGATATGCAGCACTCATCATGGCTCTCAGCAGGTAACCTACATACTAATGTGATAGCAAAGGGAAGTCCTCTCCTCATATTGTGGAAGTGGAAAAAGAGAGGAATCATGTTGTTAGTACAAAGTCACCATTCTGACCTTTCATACAATTTGCCATTTTAAAAATTAGTGCACAGCTCAGGTTTCTGTGAATGCAGCATACACATACTTTGTATTACTTAAAGAGGCATTTTTGGAGAGTGATTCCTCCTACTGGTGTGTGATGGGATAGTGCTCTCTCTAAAGCTGCCTCTCTCTGCATAAACTGTAGAGGGAGACTAATTTCTGGATTTAAGCTATACACCTAAATCTGGACATCAACAGAAATCAATGTGCTACCAAATGCAAATCAATGAAAACTCGCTTAGTTCAGTGTAAAAGTAAGTCTCTGTGGTGAAGTCTAGCACAAACAAGTAATAGGTTTTGCCCTGTTGCATCAAGAAGGCACTTCTGACGCGCACTCATTTTCTTTTCCTCACCAGAATTTCTCTAAAATGGTCTGTGATCCAATCCAGAAGTGCATTCACTCATTAATTCAGAGGTCAGTGTTCTATAGTCACTGAGCAAGATGCCCAGCAGAAACAGACAACTTCATTTTTTTTTCCAGCTAAGGCATGGTGTTAATTTTTCACTCAAAACTTATTAGTGTAGGTGCTTTTGCTTAGACTTATGGCAGGATACTGAGAGGCGGGTGCTGACTGTGCAGAAAAAGACTGAAACTAAAAGGATCCTGTAAGGAAAGACTGGATGCTCAGAAATAACGGTATCAGTGGAGAGGATCACACAGACTCACCATCAGTCTTCACACTCCAGGTCATCTGAAATCCATCGGTCATCAGATAGAAGTTCTTTAAATCTTCTGGCAATACACAGGAGTTTTTCTGCAAATCACAAGAGGGCCAAAGTGTTGTGAAAAAATGCAGAACGTGTCTGAAATCCACTGAGCAAAAACGTTTGCTACCAAACAACTTCTGAGCTACAAGATAACCGAAATCAGCAAATATCTCAGTCTAAAACGATGAAAGAAACAGCATATTTTTGGGTCTGTCCTACTGTATTAACAAAGATGACTTGGGAAAATTTCACAATGAGCAGTCAGTCATCACAAGGCTATTACAGAATTATTCCCCAACTAAGACAACATATCATCCTGTGAAAACCTACTCCCAGACCACAGATACTAGGAACATCAGATTTTTTACATATACATACACAGCTTACAAGAGCAGAATTTTTACTTTAAAGTGCAATCAGACTACTCCTACCTGTTCCACTACAGCATGTATAATAGTTGCACAAGGAGATTTTTTTCTTGAGGACTTTCAATTCCAAGTAAGTAAGAACTCCACAGACTCAACAGTTGCACATACTCAAACAAATTTGACATTCTGATTAAAAGCCTGTCTATACGCAGAGACAATATCACAAACCTGCTGGTCTGCCTTCATCCCATCAAACTTTGGCACGTGGCTAGGGCTCCTGAATCTGCTCATTCCTGAGCCAAAAGTGAAAGAGACAATTCCAGTGAGCCGTTGGGAGCTCTAAGAACCATGATCCTTTCTCTATGCAGAACTTTGTTGCGAAAGGCGCTTTTCCTAAGTTAACCTGTCTGTCCACACAATAACATTACAAGGGAAGAGTACAGACTTAGTTCTCAGCATTATGAGAAGCTCATAGATTTGCATGCAATTGCAGACACTGCTCCTGCTGACTGGTCTGGGCCCTGACCAGTGACCCCCACTCCTGTTGATGCCCCAAGAACGCTAAATGAAACAGTACAGAAGCATGTCAAGTGTTAAGACAAGCAACACATATGACATGAGTTATCTGTCATTTTGTTTGCAGTTGTTCTAGTAAAAACAAGAAACTGAAAAACACTGAAGTGAGTTTACATTTAAAGCACTGTTAACTTCAAGGCTCCGAATGCATGGATCAGACTTCGAAAGCAAAGACAGTTTAAATATTAAGAGGCTTTAAAGACGAGTATGGAAGTGCTGTTTGAAAAAGACTTCTGGAAACTTCCAGTCCAACCTCCTCCTTGAGGTAGGACTACTGCCAATGCAGCACATCAGGTTGGCTGTGGCTTTTGTCTAGCTGAATCTTTAAAGTTTCCAGTGATGCAGGTTTCACAGCCTCTGTGCTGACCTGTCCCAGGGCTCTGCCACCTCTCCTGCGAAAAAGTTATCCTGATTTCAGCCTGAACCTCTCAAATTGCAACTTGTCACCATTTTCCCCATTCAGTCTCATGTGCTTTTAATTCTTCTCAACAATGAAACAAACAAGCTCTTTAGGGATCAAGCTTTGTTCCTTCACTCCCATGTGCTAAGCAATTCACTTCCGAGGCATAACCACTTTTGCCTGCAGATTGCTACTGAACAGTTCCAGACAGTCACGGCTCTGCAGCTTGCCACAGGGCAGTTTACTTCACTTGCCCTGTTCACAGTCACCAGCACAGTGTTCGTCTAACCCATCTTGTGAAAATCTCCAGAGGCAACAGGCACTAAAGCAGAGAATCTGATACTGGGAAAGCTTTGTTTCGAGAAGAATTTATTGTCATTTGATAAGGTCATGCTGATGGCCAAAGCTCTGGTGGCAAGTTTCAAAAGATTACTGGACCATGCGGACATTTCTCAAGTTCCTCAAATGCCTTTAATAAACACACCTTAATCTGTAGGCTCCTCTCAGTGCTAAATAATTTAATTGTGGACTTTCACCACTTCTACTTTCACGCTCTTGCTGCAAGTGTGGTGACTAGGGTTAGAAAGAAGAAATGAAGAAAGGGAGTACAACAGACTTGGTACCAAAACTTTTTTGCTACAAGAATACAAACATTGGCACAGCATTTCTAGTCCATCTGTAAACCTACCAGTTGTAACTAAACTACCCCAGCAATACAAAGACATAGGGGAACAGCTCTGTTGACTTGAATGGGGTTCTTCCTGCTAGGGTAACCAGATGCATTGGGATGACTGGTCTCCGCAGAGATATGTCTGGACAGGCTTTCTGCGCTGAATCCTCCATTTCTGGAGGGAACATTCAACACGTGCCCTTTGCTCCACGTGGCTGCCTTTGCCACATTACTGTTATTTTAGGACCCTCCGAAGTATGGCCCTTTCCAAATGATGAGGCAGAATAAAAGAGTGGAAAAATGCTGATAAGGGCAGATCTGGGGCCTACTCAAAATCCCAGCAGGATTTGATAATCCCCACAGAAAGGGCGGACAGATCTGTCGCATTATGCTCAGCCACGGGACCTTAGGACTTCTAAACACCATTATATATAAAAAATAGCTTCACTTCAAGCAGCTGTACTCCCCCTGCTCATCTAGTTGCTTCCAGAGTTATGATCCCCAGCCCATAAAATATTGTATTACTAATAACATGCCAGAAGTGGCTTAACCACAGCCCTGGCAATCCTAGTCATCTGGTTAAATTCATCAGCTCATAACACACAATATCCCAAGAGCACAATATGATATGTGAGGTCTATGTCTCTTGTTTCTTGTCTATAACATCCCCCAAGTAGCCTCCCAAGAAAGTTCCGTCCATTGAATATAAAGAGTATTATAGCAGAAAAACTCATTGCCAAGACATGGTCAACACTGAATCCAGAGCTAAAACACTAACATATGGGAATTCACTCAAACCAGCATTGAACCATCTCCCAAGCAAATATCCTAAGGAACTGGAGACTAATCAAAGCAAATGACTATAGGGGGACTTCTCCAAGAAGTGGGCTAATTCTGCCCATCTTCTGCGGAGAAGACGAAGGGATTTATGTTGCATCTCAGGCCCTCCTGATAGCTGAGCAAGTCAGTAGCCACCTTTCTCTCTTCTTAGCATTAAGTAGTCTCACAACTAGTCTACCTTGGCTGTCAGCGAATGCTCACAAGGTTATTTTATGTAACCTACTGAGACATTCTAGTTGAACCTTTTATGAAGCTGGTCCAGGTGGGGCTCTTGGGAAGGCCCCTTGCCAGAATTTACGCCCCCTCTACCGAAAAACACAGGACCAGCCTAACTTCCAGCTACTCCAAACAGGATTTGGAAAATTCTCTTGAGGATGGTGCTTGGCAGCCAATTTTTCTCAGAGTATCACAGAATTCCACAGAAAAATATGATGTGAGAAATGTCATGGGTGTCCCAAGACTCCTCCAGCTCATACTCTATTTTGCACTTTTCCTTGTGCACTGGTTCTCCTGACTCCGCTTGCCCATTTCTCACACACTCAGGATGACAAAGCAGATTCCAGACGGGTAGGGTCCATGTTCTGGGGACTGCAGGTTGTCTAATGCTGAGGGAGGACACACATGCAGAAGGGGGAGAAGGGCTCTTGTGGACCTGCATGCCCTATGAATATTCTTTTGGGTTACTCTGCCTGACAGCTACTTTTCTTTGGCTACTCTGACTGACAGCTGCCAATGGCCTAGAAGTCTCCTCACTTAAGTTTCTGACACATTAGGCAAACCACACTTGCTGCTGGAGGCTGGCCTTGTGCACAAGCTTTGTAAGTCAAAATGAGATGTGGCTCAAAAGTTGTGGAGGACTTCTAAAATACCCAAGAACAGCAATCCCAGCTCTCACTGAGATTTACATGCAGAAAGTACTTCTAAATCATCTGGCAGCCTGTGAAAATCCACAGTCGGGAATCCACAGACTGCCTGATTTTTTTTCTGGTTCTATTACAGAACAGTAAACCCTTGCAGACAAACTGCACAAGGAGAAACAACAGAATTCTCATGCAGAGCTGGAGAACATCAGAACTCCAGCAGTGTGATGGACATGGATCATTCACAGCCAGCCAGGGGCAGTTCAGATACTGTTAACAAGCCAGGTACAATGGGCAAAATGACCTCTTCATTTGGCTTTGCTTGCTGAAGTACTCAATTCTCCCCAGCAAAATATAATTTTGTATTCTTGAAAGGGAAAACAATGATCTGAGTGACCTACTTCTGAGCAAAAAATAACTCCCCAATTAAGTACTGTTATTACAGATATTAGAGTATCTCCTAGCAATATTTAGTATCATGTCTCTTTTTACAAACTGCATGTGGAGGGGAGCAGGGCAGATGCCAAAGTAACTTCAGCAGCAGAACTGGTTCATGGCAGGATATATCACGGGTGTCCCAGCCTCACGCTGACGCTGCCTCTATCCCACTTCTGTAGAATGTCTCATCGCAGGCACATCAGAAAAGGAGAAAAAAATCTCTCTTTTCACTTCCATACTTTACCACATGAATACCTGACAATCACTTATTCTAAATATTTTTGTGAGCACGCTAATTTCCAAGAGAATATTTAGGATTGATTTGTTGCCTGTCTGCTACTACAGAAAGCCTTCGAAAAATCTTTTCTGCCTTCCAATCACAAAGCTCTTTTTCCTCTGCAGAGCTTTGGCTGACCCATCTAAAATCTAAACTTGGCACAACCCAATTTAACAAATATAGCTTACTTCTGAGACAATGACAACAATAATAGCACTGGCACTATGCATATTTAGAATAACATTATGTAATTATTCATAATTACAACTAGGTTGATTTTCTTATAAGAGTTTCTGGATAACATAATTTTCTTTTGGTAAGAACACACTTGCTCTGCAAAACTGAAATGGGACTAGAAAAAAAACACTCCTAGCAAAACTATAAAGAAAATCTTAACCATAGAGCTTTCATGTGGTAAGCCTTAATAAAAAGTTCTGCCCTTTGGAAAAAAAAATGCAAGGAGTTTGACTAATTTTCCCTTCCTTGCATTAAAAAAACATCCTGCAAATACTTTGCTAGCCAAAGATATAGTGGGAGTTTAAAATATAGACTGTGATGGGACTTTGTTAAAATCTCAGCTCTGGAAAAACTTACAATTGCATGCATCAGTCTTGCCACCTAGTGGCTATAATAAAGAAGTGATAGAAGTGAACACTGGGCATGGATACGCTTGTATGCGGATCCAAGTGGGATGAGCTTGGGGAAAGGAGAGGTACTGTTAGGTCTGGTTTTCGAATCGACGGAGAAAGAGGCAAACACCATCGATATATTGTGCTTTTTAATAATAGGAGAAAGATAATAAGTATTACCAGCTAGCTGGGGTGGACTAGTCACTGTGCTAGATATTAGATTTTATCCCCCAAATTCTGCTACTTATCTCTGCTACTTATTTTTATTACCACGTAAAAGAAAAAGAGTTCAAACTCAGTAAAGGAGATTTCTGGTTTGTCATTGCAACTGGAAACAAAAGCAAGGAAGTAGACAGTGAAGTCCTTCATCATTAGCTCCAGACCATCTGTATCTACTTAATTTTCACCATTAACTGACGCAGTTCATTCACTGGATGAGAGAAGATGTTTTCTTTTGACCAAAGTACTTTGACTAAAGCGTTTCAAAGTTTGGTTCTAAAAAAATAGCTCAATTTCTAAACAAAACAGCTTTAATTAGGAGAATAAGAAGCATCTGAAAATGAGAATAAGAATACGCTCAGACTGAAAAATATGCTTAGTTTAGGCATTACTAAAACTGGTGCAAGAGTTTTCTATACTTTTTTTAGGAAAAACCTGCGGCTACTACTCCCCCTTCACTAAACAAACAAAGCCTTAGAAGCCCTCATGCTCCATCCTGAACACAAATCCAGTTGCATGATGTGTGTATGGGATGAATAAACCCATGTATGTTCAGAGAGGTGACCAAAAACGCCACCTCTATCCCCCACAGCTGCACAGTGATGTCCAGGAACCCTGCTCGGGTAGCCTGATGCACTGAGGCTTGCTAGTGGAGAGTTGGGGTATCCAGTGGCCTCTGTAAGCTTCTGGAACTGCCAGCTGGACATGCTGGGGCAAAAGCCTGGGGCTGCTCCACAAAAAGGATGCAAAGGGGAACTCTGAGAAATGGAAGGGAATTCCTGAGGCTGAAAGGCACAGTGGATAACTACTTGGAAGTGGTTGGCTCAGGGGTATTTTGCACCTTGATATTTTACTTACAATGACTATAAACAATAAAAAACTTCTTCATTCTGTCTCAAAGGCAGCTGGAAAATGTGGTTTCATAGCTGAGTCAGGAGCATGTCTGCTCTCCCCTGAGCCTCCACTGTTGCTGTCTAAATTTACCCTCACTGATGAAGCTTCTCTAAGAGCTTCTGTAAGTGCATGTCATATTTAGAAACCAGAGTAACAGCTGTAAAACAAAGGCTGTTCGAGATCCAATGTGCATCTGGTTACAGGCTATCTTGAAAGCAAACAAGAGGTGAATTTGTCATTTAACATCCTCCACAGGCTGCAGTACAGTCAGACCAACCCCACTGCAGAACTGCAACGAAAACACTCACTTGTTCCCATGAGATGATACTGTGGCGTTCCGCTGGCTCCTTTTCCACAATCGTCACCTCAGCAACTCCCGGAGAAGTCTCTAAAAGGAAAAGAAGAGCGTGTCTGCAGCTGCCATGGATGACAAACACTGTGAGCCAGACGACTTTACAAGTTAAACCTGACTGACAACTGAGGAAAGTCATTCCTGACTGCAAGAACGACGCTGGGCACTGAGCCGGGACTTGCTCTGGTCTCTAACTGTCCTCAGAGGACGCTTAGTGCTCCACAAGTTGGCATCCTCTGATCATTTTTATATACACTTACAGACACATACACTTTACACAGATTTTGTATTTAAGCTCTGATCTTTTGCAGAGGCTTCATGGAGAAACATCAGCCCCAGCTCCTGAACAAGCTCTAAAAGTCAGGTGAATCTTTCCTTGTAAACAGGCTTGGTGGCCTCAGCTGGGCACGATATTTCTAGCTTGACACAAGATGCTGTGCAGTGTTGCTGTGAAATGCAAACCTCATATTCCACAAAGATGGGTGCATTTCAGGGCTGGAGTCTGAACAGATGTAGGGTCTGATCCTGCAGAATGGACCAGTGTGAACAAACATCAGCTCCCTAGAATCCCAGCTGGGCACATGAGGAGCTGTTAAGAGCACTGAGCTCATCATTTGTAAAAGTGATCTGAATATTTTATGGGAAAGAATGGAATATCATATAAATGTAAGAATATAAATGCAAGATACTAATCTACATAGTGCTATCCTTGCAGGTGTGTGATGGCCTCCCTTGCACTTACTACTTGATAATGTTTTACTTCGTCTACAGCTGATGAAATGGTTCTTGCTGACTTCATTCACTTTGATCAGCTCCATAAGGACTACTTACTTGTTAAGGGAATTGCAAACCCAGCACACAAGGCTGTGCAGCAGAAATGATCACTATGCAGGGCTTTCAAGACCAGCTCTGCTGTGAAAGCATGGGCTCCCAATGCTGTCACACATATTATAATTGCTTTCTGATAAAATAGACACAGTGCACTAGACAGGAAAGGCAGGCACCAGAGAGCTTTGGCTCTTTTTTTATCCCCAGCTCTAGGCTCTAATTCTAGGAACAGAGCTGCCCTTGTCTATTCTGCTAGTGGAAAAGCAGCAGCCAGCAGAAGGAAGTCTGAAGTTGGCTTTAGTTGGAAGTATTGATTGTTACATTGCCAGATAATTTAAAAGACAAACTGTATCACCAGAAAACAAATCTCAAAGTTAAAGATTTAAAAAAAAATATCATAGTAGGTTGCCAAGGTAATCCTTCTGGCCAGTACAGGTCTCCAACCCCTAAAAGACTTTCTGCTCTTTTGCCAAGCTTCACTTCAAATAGTTGGGTACAAGGCAGGGCAATATGTCTCTTGCTCAACTGTATGTCTTACATATGGAGACCGTATTCTGCTCTTAAGGGAGTGCATGGAATCAAAGATCTAACTGGTCTTTTCCACCTGAGCCATGCAAGTCTTATAACATGTTAGGAAATTATAATAACAGAGTTATTTTAATTGTTATTTCTGTGATCAAAGAAACAGCAGGGTTGCTTAATTCGTTATGCACAAAGGCTCAGCTGGGAAGGTGGAAGATTTAATATCAAATCAATTACAGGAGGATGTCCAGGGATGAGTGAATATCATCTTCTAGACAGGTCTGAACCAAATTCAAGATCAAAAGAAAGAGGAACTTCACCCTAAAACCCTGAATGTTATCTTAAAAATATCTTGTGGGTAAACTAAAGACCATGCTTAATAGATGTGTGCAAGTATGGATGGGAGCTCCATGAAAAATGAAGGAGGAAAAGCAGGACAGATGCCGTGGCCTGCCTGGTGCGGTGGCTTTAAGAATTCAGATGGAAGAAATCAGAGGCCAACCAGGTTAGACATAAGATACAGGATAAAGCTTAACCAGTTCAGGAAAATCCTGCCAGTTAACTATTCTGAACCAAGATCACAGTAAATCTGATCCTATTTTTAGCACATTTCACCTAGAAGCTTCCAAAAATGATTTGTAGTATTAAATGGAATGACTTGATCTAATGATCTGAGCACAAAGCAGGAAATCACAGCACAAACCTTTACTACTGCACTGCCGGTAGAATCATAGAATCATAGAATGCTTAAGGTTGGAAGGGACCTCTAGAGCTCATCTAGTCCAACCCCCCTGCACACGCAGGGTCACCTAGAGCACGTGGCCCAGGACTGCATCCAAGCGGGTTTTGAAGATCTCCAGAGAAGGAGACTCCACAACCTCTCTGGGCAGCCTGTTCCAGTGCTCTGTCACCCTCACTGTTAAAAAAATTTTCCTTAAGTTCCTGTGGAACTTTTGATGTTTCAGTTTCCGGCCATTTCCTCTAGTCCTATCCGTGGCCACCACTGAAAAGAGACCAGCACCATCCTCTGCACTCCCTCCCTTGAGGTACTTATATACACTGATTAGATCCCCTCTCAGCCTTCTCTTCTCCAGGCTGAACAGGCCCAGCTCCCTCAGCCTCTCCTCGTAGGATCCAAAACTGGGAGGAATGGCTGATACGTTGGAGGGCTGAGCACAGAGGGGACCATTCAGAGGGAACCGTGACAAGCTGAAGAGATGAGCAGAGAGGAACCTCATGCAGTTCAGCAAAGGAAAGTACAGAGTGAGTGTTGTGTCTGACACCCAGGTCCCTCTCTGCAGAGGTGCTCTCCAGAAGGTCGGTCCCCAGCCTGTACTGGTGTCTGGGGTTATTCCTCCCCAGGTGCAGGACCTTGCACTTGGCCTTGTTGAATTGCATGAGGTTTTTCACTGCCCAGTTGTCCAGTCTGTTCAGGTCCCTCTGGATGGCAGCGCAGCCCTCTGGGGTATCAGTACTGCCTCTATGTTGGATAACCTCTCAGCATCTTTATAAACCTGTTTGAATACATAAATTCTTAACCAATAAAGACTAAATAGTGAAGTATGGTCTCGTTCTGGTTGCTTAGTTGACAACAGCTAACACCTGCCACTCAAATTTAGTTCTGGGCAATGAAACTTTCTGAAATGTTACTGTTAGTCATGGACCTTCAGCAAGTTGAATTATGCTGAGAATAGAAGAGACCTCTCCCTTTTCCCTCAAATTATAGCTTTCATAATGCTTGTGAGAAATCTTCTGCCTTGTACGAACTTTCACAGAAACTAGAAGTTGAAGAGAAAAAATCTCATACACACAGAATTGGTTAAAATTAGTTTGTTTTTTTTGAATGGTCCCATTAATATTTACTATTTATTGGAAAATTGGGTTTCCAGATCCCATACTGTGCATGTGTTACGTTTTATTGCTTAAAGGAGCATGTTGTGTTTTACCATATCATCATTTCCATCTCCCATAGAAGTGTTCCATTAACTTAAGTGAGTTAAAAATGTATCACTGCTTTGATGTTGAGGTAGGCAGAGAAGTATCTATGGACTCCATGAGGCTTCCCTGAAGAAGAGGTAAAATAATGAGATAACTTCTACTAGTGCAAAATACCAAGGAATGAGTCTTTCTGACTCAAATATCATTTGTTTTGTGAAAGAAACAAGCAGCATGCAGATATTGCTCTGGCAACGTTTTCCAAAATTTTTAGTTCAGCAATCCTAACTAACATGGTGCCGCAATCAACATGCTTTGGGCTACTTTATGGGGCAGAAAAACATGAAATTCACAAAAAAACTGGTGAGACGGAAAAAAATCCAGACTAAAACATCACAACAGTGGCCTGGGGAGTGCACTGCTGTATTGCACAACACAACAGACCAGAGAAAAACAGAGAGAAGAAACCAGCAAACACAAGTCCCGTGAACAGGGTGCCACAGGACTTTTGGAGCCAAACCCAGATCACCACATCTTGCTGGCTGTAAAGCAACATGCCTACCCAAGATGGTTTTTATGGCAATATTACTTTTGAACTTTGTTAACATCCCGCAGATCTCAACATCTGAGGGTCAGGGCTGGTAATGTTTTGAAAAGAACTACTTAAAAGAGGCGATGCCACCGTATCTGATCACCAGCAGTTTCACTCTCTAAATGCTGGCATGGGGTAGAGTGGTAGCGTGATCCTGACCTTACAGCTGGAAAATAGTTAAGGAAAACCCAAGAAGCCAAATAAGCTTGGAAGAGAGGTCTGAACAGAGCTTGGGGATGAAACCCTGTCCTCACTGAGGCCCATCATCATCTGGCTATTGCAGCTATCAGCAGCTTGTGCTATTTGTGATATAAAGCACAGGGTTAGATAATCACAGAGATCATTTTTGGCTTTAAATTCATATAAATATATGATTTTGTGAGGTAAGATTGGTGATGCTGCATACGCAAGGCTTGCAATAGCTCTGTTGCTTACCAGCCAGCCACATGTCTACGGCAGCTTGTGCCCGAAGCTGCTGAAAGATGAAAGGTCTAATAACAAAGTGCTTTACACATGCCAAGTATTCCCATCAGTTCTTGTGATTCAACTGCCACAGCTTTGTCCGAGGCGCCTTATGTCAGTGTTGAATTCTGTGCTCTTCTGATGAATTTCAAAGAGAACTGCAGGCACACAGAGATGCTCAAGAGCCAGTCGCAAATCCAAGACAACAAGCAAGAAGGCTACAGAAGAGGGCCTGGGACATGGGAATAAATTGTAGAGCGGCTGCGCCGTCCCCCTGCCCGCGCTGTGGGGCTTCAGGGGCCCCTCAAGGCAGAGGCCGGGGGGGA